GGTCCTGTGCCCTCCTGCACCTTCTGACACACATGCCATTGATTCTTTGAACACAAATGAAAACCCATTTGATTCAGTTAAGTGCCACATTGTGGATTTCATTCAGTGGGAATCGTTTTCCACTGTGCTTTGAAGAAGCCATAAATCATTAGATAAGCAACTGCAAGATACCTTTGTTAAAGTCGTTGGTAGAAATTATTGACCTGAGAAGGGCCAAGGTTGTATGTTTTGTGGCACCTCAAAAATGACCCTCCTTGGCAAGGCACGGACAGGAACCACCCCACCACTGTGCATGCTGCGTTCAATCAGAATTGATGCAGGAAACCTGTCACCCATCCAGGTGATGGCTGCAGTCTGTGCTGTGGACTGAATCTATGCCTGCAGCACTGGTCCCTGACGTGGTGGTCACTAGAGGTGGCCCTCTGGGAGGTGGTCAGGTCGAGAGCCCTCATGATAGACCAGTGCCCTATGGGAAAAGACCAGAGAGCTTGCTGGGAGAAGATGGTCATCTGCAGGTGAGAAAGCCCACTGGATGGCTCCCTCATCAAGAACAAACCTGCCAGTGCCTTTATCCTGGACTCTGCAGCCTCCAGAATTGTGAGAAATAAATGTCTGTTGTTTAAACTTCCCAGTCTCCTGAGTGTGGTGGCGCACGCTTGTAATCCCAGCAACTCTAGAGTCTGAGCCAGGAGGATCACAAGTTCAAGGCTGGCCTCAGCAACTTAGAGAGGCCCTAAGTAACTTAGTGAGACCTTGTCTCAAAATAAAAAATAAAAGGGCTGGGGATGTGACTCAATGGTAGAGCATCCCTGGATTAAATCCCCAGCACCAAAAACAACAAAGCACCCTTCTGTGACATTTTGTTATAGCAGCAGAACTGAGTGTGATGGTACCTTTTGGGACTCTGGGAACGCTTCAGATCTGACACCTGAGATCTGGGCCACCTGGGATTTCACCACAGTGCATGTCCTACTTGTTCACATCTCAGAAAAGCTTCTCTCCATGGCTGCCTTGCCTATCTGTCATACCTCATTGAATCCATGATGCTATTAATTATTAGATGCACCATCATTTTACCTACTATGAAAGAAAACAAAATGGTACCCATCATAATGTGAAGAGATGTACCAAGTGCATCCCAATTTTAAAGTATTAAAATATTTAGAAGGGTATATTCTGGAATGGAGGAAGGCAGTGCCCCTGAGTACAGGTCTGGCTCCAGGAAAGAGACAGAATCCAGCTTCTCCAGGCCACCGGGGGTCCTAAAGCAGGAACTCCCAGTCTGCTCTATGTTTCTCCCCAAGTCCTTTCCACAGTGTGAGTGGGAAGGAGAGGTCACCTGACATCCTCACTGCTGGGTGAGACTGAGCGATGACCACTGGCCAGGAAGCTTCAGCAAGGTATTCTTGCTTTCCAGATGAGAAGCTGCTGCAGTCGGCCTGTCTGTCTTTCTGTGTGGCTGTCTGTCTGGCTGTCTATCTGTCTGTCTGTCTTTCTGTCTGTGTGGCTGTCTGTCTGTCTTTCTGTCTGTGTGGCTGTCTGTCTATCTGTCTGTCTGGCTGTCTGTCTGTCTTTCTGTCTGTGTGGCTGTCTGTCTGTCTATCTGTCTGTCTGTCTGTCTGTGTGGCTGTCTGTCTGTCTGTCTATCTGCCTGTCTTTCTGTCTGGCTGGTTGTGTGACTGTCTGTCTGTCTGTCTGGCTGTCTGTTGTCTGGCTCACTGTCTCTGTCTGGCTGTCTGGTTGTCTGGCTGGTTCTTTGTCTGTCGGACATTCTTTCTAGCTGTCTGTCTGTGGAACTGAGTGAAGCAGCCCTTCCTGACCGGAAGTGGCAATGTTCCCTCTTGGGTCGGCTGCCCAGGTGCAGGCTAGGCTGGCAGAGGGAGAAGAGGGGAGGGGGGCCAGGGGACAGCTCACAGCAGTGCACTCTTCCATGTAGGCCAGGCCAGGAACCACCGAGAGCTGCAGCTGCCGACCCCAGCCTCTCTTGGGCAGAGACTCACTGGAACCCAGCATCTGTGGCTTCCATCCCAGAGGTCCTGGTGTTCCTGTTCGGTTTTCCACTAACAGGTGTCAAGGACTAAGACCGCGGGCTTCTCAGGCTTTGTGGCCTCGCAGCCTTGGGCAGGAAGGGACTCCCCCAGGAAAGCCTCCCTCCCAAGGGCCCCAGGCGTCGCTGGGGAGCGGTGACTTCTCTTTACAGTGTCCCTCCTGGAAGCGCCCCACTGTACTGTTCCAAGCGGGCTCCTCGCAGGCAGGCACTGGGGTGGACGGCCAGGCCTCCAGGCCGCCCTGCCTTTCCCATGGGCAGAGCTGCTGCGCTTCTCCAGTGCACCCCGGGGGGCAGCAGCTGCGACCGCCTGGCATCTGGGTGGCCCTGCCCCCCCCCCCCCCCGACTGGCCACTGCCCAGAGCTGAGTTAGGACCCTCGCTCCGCCCACAGGGCTCAGGGCCCCCAGCTCTGCCCCATTCAGATTCCTGCTGAGACTCTGCCAGAGGTCAGGGGCCACTGCCTGCTTGTTTATTTGCAGTCGCCACTTAGGGTTTTAGTATTTTTAATTTAAATATTGTCATTTTGCCAAACAAACTAGAAAGCCTATTCAGGAAAATGTTTTATGTGTTTAACCACGAACCTTTTCTCAACAACCAAAGAGAGCATGGGGGTTGGGTGCAACAACACTTGAATGTCTCCCTGCCACTGGGTGCCCTCCAGCAGCACCATCCCCTAGGGTCACTTTGGAAACTGGGGGGAGGGGGTGGCGGCTCCTGGTCCGCAGTGGCTGGGCTTCTGCCCCACACTGGAAGGCTTGTGGAGGTCACCTTGGGCAGTAAAGTAGGTGAGAGATCTGTGCATGGTTATTGGCACATAAAACCCAACATAAGCATGATTTTTTTTGCAAGATTTTAACATATACTGGCATTTTTGGAAATGTAACTACACACACAGAAGGTTGGACTTTTTCCTGAACAGAATTTTACAGCAGTTGTTAGCGATTTTGGAAAATCATCCACAGTGCTTGACACCAGGTCAGACTGAATCTGTCCCCTGACATTGGTGGTTCAGTGGACAGATGCAACCTCTGCCTCCTCCACAGATCTTCTAGGGTGACATGCCTGGGGAGCACTACTGAAATACAGGGGCTTCTCTCAGGAACACTGTCTCCTTACTTCTCCTTATAAGGTAGTTAGCATAATACGTTGATATTTTTAAATTTATGTGAATAAGTAGATTATGTTGTCTGTGCATTTTATTTCAAGATGGAACAGAGGGTATTAATTTCCTATTGGCGCGTCATGAAGCACCACAAACTCGGTGGTTTAAAATGATGCAGACCCGCTATCTCCAGCTGCTGTGGGCAAGAGCCCAGCTCAGCTTGAGCCAGATCCTCTGCTCGGGACCTCACAAGGCTAAAGTGGAGGTGTTGCTGGCTGCGTCCTCATCTGGAAGGTCACCCTGGAAAGATCTGCCTCCAGCCCCATTCAGGTCACTGGCAAGATTCCTTCCTTGCAGATGCAGGTAGGACTGAGGTCCCTGACCATCCACGGATGTTCATGGGGTGGCTTGGCATCCAGAAGAGGGCATCTCATATACTTCACCTTCTTCCCAAGGTCACACCCATGAGGGATAATCTCCTTTATTAGCTCACAGCCAATTGATCAGTAGCTGAATTACAGGACTGAGAGCTCATGTATTGGGGACCTACTCCCACCCTGGGTGATGCAAGGTGAGCACCTGGGGCTGGGGTGCTGTTCTTGGGCTGTCTTGGCATTCTGCCTGCCGTTGGCTGTGAACAACTAACCAGTATAAAATGGGGGCTAACCAGAGGGCCGTGGACCTCTCAATTTTAAAGAGCAACACTTGTCAATGTACCCCGGGGCATTTTCACCTGCCCAGCCTCCCTGGTGGTGGTTAGCAATGAACACCCCAACTTCCTTCATGGCTCATCCATCGGCCACAGGTGGGGGCTGGGATGAGCACAGATACTTGACCACAAGGACTGAAAGGGGCTGTCTAGCCTAACTCTCAACAGATAGGGATACTGTGGGGTCAGAGGGGACAACAGTGACAGAGGGTAGGCACATTGAGCAATATTCTGCTTTGTGGGAGGGAAGCAGGGTTGACAACCAGGTGCTGATCATAAAACCTGAGGACAGGGTGGGACAGGACTCAGCAACCCTCCCGGGCCAAGCACGCCAACAGCCCAAGGGAGCCCCAAGGGCCATCACAGACAGGCTGCCCATAGCCTGGGATACCAGCTCTCCACTCCAGCCCTCCCACTGCAGCACCAGGGAGCCAGGGGGTGCCACAAGAGAGGACAGGAAAGGGCTACAGCCCGGCCATGGGAGAGCTGGGGCAGGGGACCTGGGGCCCTTACCCTAATGTCACCAGCAGCCTGTTCACTGAGAGGCTAGCAGAGACCATACAGGAACCCAGCTAGTGAGGACAACTTCAGGCTTCCTCAACGCCAGGAGCTGCACTCTGAGGGAAGGAGCCTTAAAGAAGCGATGGGGTCGGGGAGGTGAGCGACACCTCCCATGGACATTCCCAGCTACATAACCATGTGGGCAATGCCATGCAGAGTTAATGATGGCACAGCTGCCTGAACAGCTGCTGATGGTGACCATGTGTGGAGGACACCGTAAGTGCTTCCTGTCACCAGCCTCCATTCTTGGTGTTTCCCTGAGGATAATACACAAGTCACCCCCTGTGAGGACCCGCAGGCGTGGACAGGTTACCGCACTTGAAGGCATGGGATGGGCCACACTGCAGGGGCTCAGGTGGCACCTGTGCTGCCCACAGGGAGGCCATATGGGAAGGAAGAATAGGAGGGAAGTGGTAGCAGGTGACAGCCGCTCCTGACCGGCCAATCCTGGGCTCGCCCAGGCACTAGCTGGCCTCTGCGAGGACTGTACAGGCTATAGGGCTCTGGAAAGGCGGCCGGAAGGCCGTGGAGTCTGCCCACAGAGGGGCATGCTTGCCCTCGTTCCCATGCCCAGCTTACCTGGCATTGACGAGTGCTTCCAGAAGTCAGCAGAATCTCCCTGGAGGATAAAAGGGAGTCTGTTTAAGGATAGGAAGAGCCTGGCTTTGCCAACATGAGAAACTGAACTTCCAGATGAGGTGTTTCCTTTACACCAGGTGACCAATTTTTCTAATGCTATTGTTCAAAATGCATCTGGAACAAATCTTAGATAATTTACTTTGAAGAGCAAAGAAGCTGTTGGTCTCATCTTAGTAGTGACAGGTCCCTAGAGAAGATCCCTGTGGCTGTGGCTAACCTCAGGGATCTCTAAGAGAGCCTGGCCCTGGTGCAAAGCTGGCTGCGGGCATCTGATATCTGTGGAGCTGTGGTCTGGGACGCCTTCCTGCTCCTCTAGCTGAGTAGCTTGAGTGGTGTTAGTAACACTCCTGAGCCCAACCTAGAAGACAACTTCCCAGCGAGGTTTGCAGCACCAGCTGATGCTCTGAAGGGCACCTAGTGCTCCCAAGACCCCGGTTTCCCAAGGCCTCCTGATGGCCCAGGGGCCTAGAGCAGCACAAGTTACCCTGGTGTTCGCTCCTGCAGAATGATCTGTAGCAAGTCCAGGAAGCGCCCCACCTGAGCTGAGAGGCAGCACTGCCTGTCTGAACGAAGAATAGGCAGCTGTGGGAGAATCTGGGTCCAGGGACCCACCATGTGGCCAGTGGGTAAAGCGGGGACAGGAAGCCCTATGGGATCCCCAGCCCTCAGAGCGCCCTAATCTCTGTCTCCAAATCCCCCAGATCCTTCCACTCCAGTTGCAAGCTAAATACCACAGTGGTGCTTTCGCAGGGCGGGGCCCCTGGCTTTAAAATACTCAATCTGAAAGCACTCTACTGCACTCCACATCTTTCCCCTCACCACAGAAAAGGCCCACATTCCCTCTGTTGATGAATCAAGAAGGAGGATAATTAGGTTCTCTTTGGGTGCAATTTCAAATGTTGTAACATTTTGAATGGTCATAAAGTTGGGCTTAAAATTTTTATCTTCAGATGCAAAGTCAGTGATGATAACTATCAAAACTTTGAAGACCTCATCATGAAAATGTCTCAAGGACTTGTTGCAAGGGGTCATCTTGTGCATAAAACCTCATGCAAACAAATGAGGGGCAAAAAAGCAAACTCAAGCTCCTCATTGAAAACGCTAAAGATCTGCTTTGGAAGTTCCATGCAAACTCCATACTTACCATCACCTGAGGAACACACAATGGATTTTTCCACCAACCTTCATAGAGAGGCTTCTGAATTCCAGTGCTAGTTTTTAGTTTTAACTTTTTATACAAAGATTAGCCCTTTCTGCACTTGTGATGTGCAGGAAGTTGGGAAGCATCCGGGAGGCTGAAGCCTCCCACCCCCCCAGGTCGCAGACCAGGGAGACCAGCCTTGGGAAAAGCTACGAGTGAGTCGAGGTGGCCCCCACCTGCAGGCTTTCCTCCCAGTCAGCAGTGTGGGAAGCAGGATGATCCCGGAGGCAGTGAGCAGCTAGAGAGGCCAGCCTCTTCCAACAGAAAGCTCCAACTCTGACGTGAAGGCGCCAGGCTGGTAGATTCTGGCTCCTGCTCATCCCTGTCTTCCAGTGGGTGTGGTGAGTCTTCATCCTTCCAGGGTGGATTAATGTCCAGAAAAGCTTTGCGTCACTACAGCTTAAGTCAGATGAATAAACACACTTCAGTAATATTTAGAGTCCCAAAGAGGCACGGCATAAATTGATTTTATTTTTATTTCTCCTAAATGGACTCAAGGTGATTTCCTAAGCCAAGTGCTTTGGGTATTCCTGGAATAAATACATCGATTCTTGCGGTTTACAGAGAAAGTGTCAATTAGATATATGGGGTCTATGGTGTTTGATTAACTTTATTCTCCTTGCTTTACGGCTGTGCCCCTAGGATACCCAGAACGCATTCTCTAAATAGAGGTTTCTGAGAGGCAACCTCAATGGCTGCTTCGCTGTTGTTTCTAGTGAAGTTCCAACAGTTAAGGCGGTAGCTCATTTGCGGCGTCAGGCGTTCAGGGCTTCTCTCCTTGAAGGGAGGAATCGCAACAGTCCGGTGGGAACCGCGGCCCCGTGGGCGATGTCTACGGATTCCTGTCTGCTGGGTGCAGGCTCAAGGCAGCCACGCGGCGGCTGAAACCACAGGGAAGGCGATGCCCAGGCCGGGGGGGTCCGGAGGCCAGGGCACCCCGGCCGGGAGCCTCGCCCGTCTCCCCGGCAGCCGCGCACGCGGAGTTCCCAGCGCTCGGCTCTCCACGCGTCTGCGCTCCGCGTCTGCACGCGTTCGTCAGCTGAGTCCAGAAAACCACGCACACTCGGCAGTGCGAGTAAACCGTGGAATCCCCACGCACGCGTTTTTACGTTAAACGCGGTTAATGCAAACGTCAGCGCCTCTGCGTCACTCGGAGCTTGGGTCTCTCTCAGGCCTCTGTCCTGCTCCCCAGGACCTCTTCCTTCCCCACCTGGGCTCCGCGCCCAGCCTCCTGCGGGTGCGGCCGACAGCTGCCCGCGCCACACTGGCTCCCTCTTGTGGGCCTAGAAGGTCACTGCATGCCCGCTGGACCGGGGGCCTCCTGCAGGGCCAATCCCAGGGATTGGATGATGCTGACGTCGGGAATCCATCAGGACCCTAAGCCTTCTAACTTGAAGACGTTCCCGCAAGTGCTCGGGGCTCCTCTGATTCCCTCTCGGGACACCTTAGAGTCCTCAGGTTTTCCCGTGTGTGAGACTTTCTGAGCAGTATCAGGATGGTGTGTGCACGTGTCTCCCAGGTGCTCTCTCACAGTGAGTGCGTGGGGCAGCTCACAGGACAGGCTGGCCTAGGGACACAGGATCACAAGGCCCGCCATGGAGCCCCCGGTCTGCCGCCACCCTAGCATGTCACTTGGTTCCCAGACTGCAGTCTTCATTGCATGCTATGAGGTCAGCGGATGGGAACGTGTTCTGCAGGCCAAGACAACGCAGGCCAGCGCTGTTAGTACCTTCCATATATGTTGAGGGGCTCTGCAAAAAATCCTGAATCTCAAAATCACCTTCCTACCGCAGTGCCTGAAGTTTTCACCTAAGGGGCGACCTTTCAACGGGTTTTCTTCCCTGGGATGCAGCATTGTTACCCAGAGGGACAGTGTTAATCCACAGGAGCTGTTGTGTGGGATTTTTCCACCAGGGGGCCACTCCTGGCATCCCAGAGCAAAGTGTCCCTGGAACCATGGGTCACCTCCCCTGCAGGGAGATGGCCAGTTCTTCAACTGGAACCCCTGGTTCTCTGCTTGGGGCTTTTGGGGCTGCCATCAAGTGAATGCCCCCAGAAGCAGCGCTCAGCCATGGCAGGAGGTGTTTCCTCATCCCTGGGCAGCAGTGATGCTGTTCAACAGTGTTAACAGCACAGTTAAGCCCCAGGCTTCCATGGAGGTTCCTGCTGGACACCATGCCCTGTACTGGCTTCATGCCCTGCTCCGTCTCTGCTAGTGCTTTCTGGATCCTTTTGCAGTTAAACGCCTTGCACTCAGATCCTTGTGTCAGGGTCTGATTCAGGGAGTACCCATCCTGGGATGGTGGGCACCAGCAGTGGGCCTGGGATGAGACCCTCGGGATGGGGGTCTGGAATGGAATCACTCACATGCCCAAAGGGAACAAGACCCCAATGCTGGTATTAAGCAGAGTTTCCAAAGACTCTGAAAGCTTTTCATCTTATCTTGCAGATAAGTTCTGTGAAATTGTCATCTGCAGTGAATTGAGATGGAATTTGCTGGAAGGAGATGCATCCTGCTAATGCAAGAGCGCCGGCACTTTAGAGATATGGCAGCAACAGACCAGAGTTGATTAGTTAACTGAAATTGAAACCCCAAAAGAAGATGACAGGCTCAAGCCAGCTGACCATAAACTTGGAACACAGTGTGAAGGCCAGAAGATTTCATGGCGCCATTTAAATGCTTTCATCTCCTGCAGATCATGAAGACTGTCAGATCTAGGTCCTGACTGAGTGTTGGAGTAAGGAAGGAGGTTGAAGTCACAGCCCTGCAGGGTCTCTAGGGGGCAGTGAAGATCCTGATAAGGAGTGGGACCTGGCAGCCAAACAGGGAGCTAGGGGTGATATGCCTGAGAGTGTTCAACCCCCAGATTCCCAAGAACCTCTGGGCTGGCAGAAATAGTCCCTTCCCACCCACTAGAGATGAGCAACTTCTCCCCACCCAGGGGTCAGGAAAAGCTCTCCCTGAGCCAGGTCCCCCAGACAATGTTGCTGCCCTGAAGAGCCAATCCTGCCTCTCCTCTTTGCTACCAATAATTATGGCCAAGTTGAAGAAAGGCTTGGGTAGGGAAGGAGTGTTCCTGCTGTAGGAAGAAAGGGGTCATTCACCACAACAGCCCTGGCTAATGAGAGCTCCTGGATGGAGTGGATGCTCGGAGGATGGAGGCAGGGCAGGCAGGGATGGAAGACAAGCAGGGGAGGGCAGAGATATTGACATGGGAGCACTCTCTCACGGCTCAGGTGAGGTCCTGGAGGACACACCCTCTGCTCAGGTACTAAGGAGTCCCCTAGTTAGGGAGACACTTGCTTCCCTGGGAGGCTCTGTGGTGGCTGTCTTAGGGAGGTCAATATTGCCTGTAGGAGATGTTGCCTTTGAATTGGGCTCAGAGGCAATGCAGATTGTGCTATTGTAATAACAAAGGCTACATGGAGGCCCTGGACCAGCACAGGAAAGGCAGAAGTAATTGTCATGATTCATAATGGAAAATGAGGCAGAAAGACAAGCTGGAGGTCTGACCTTCAGGGACCCCTGGTGATGGCTGGTAGCCAAGGTGTGCCAGGGTGAGATCATGGGCAACCAGTGAGAGTATCACCTTATATAAACAATCAAGAAGATCACGATCAAATGAGCAGAAGCCAGGCACCACTCACTGCACTGGAAACCTGCAATCCCTCGCCCAGTGCTAGATGAATCCATTCCACGGTCCAGGGCTCGCGGGTTGAAAGGAAGGAGGCCCTTGAGGAAGGGTCCTGCAACATACCACACCACACACACACACACGTGGCAGCTCTTCCTCAACTCCTGCCAGAGAAGCTGGCCATTCCCTCAGTAATGCCACACCCGGGAAAGGAAAGAGGATCTCTTAAGGCTGTTGGACATAGGATCTGAGTGGACACCAGTGATGGTGAGGCCAATACACCCTCAGGAACCCAACAGCATGGAGCACACAGAACCACTTGTCACCAGGTCCCAATCAGTCTCATAGTGGTCCAGCGGTCACGCCCTTGGCCACTGTCTGCTGGGGCAGACCAGCTCCCCACAAGAGGAAGGGGAGAGAAGACACCTGAGGTGTGCACAGAGCAGCTGCAGGCATCTGTGTTGTTCAGGGTCTCCCCACAGCCACCCACGCCACCCACAAGGAGTCTCCGAACGTGGAGCAGCGGAAAGACGCCTCAGCCCTGAGCTTGTGCAGAGGAGGGCACAGTGAGCAGCTAGAGAGACTCACTTTTCTGGCAAAGTGCAGAGGCCCTTGTCCTGGACCTACTGAATGAGAATCCTCGTTGAGCGTGGTCTCAGGTGACTTGTGCGCGTGGAAGGGTGAGATACATGGCTTCAGGACCTTCTGGACCTTTTGGGAGAACATGTTGAGAACAGTTTCACTTTAAAATAAGTGGACCTGTGACTCTCTAACCTGGCCAACACCAGCCCCATCTCTACCAGCACTGTCACCAAAGACTGGCCATTGCCCTCCAGCAGGGCCACTAAGAGAGCCACCTCACCAGGTACCATTTCCTATGACAAGCACACAGCTGAACTATTTTTCAAAGTGTTCAGATTAGGGGGTAGGTTCCGCTGCGCCTCCCCAGGCCCCGCACTCACCGAAGTTTGGACCACCCCTGTGGCTGTCTGGGCTGTCCGTCCCTCTCCTCACTCACCAGCCCCAGCCGCAGGTTCTGCCTGCCCTGCCCTCCACCTCCGCCCTGTACTCGAGGTTTTCTGCCGTGGTCAGAACAGCCAAAGACAACAGTGCTTCAACTGGCAGGAAACAGTCTTCACACTCTCAGGATTTCCTATTATGGGATGTACAGGCTTTTCCAGAAACACAGTTGCACCTAAAAATAGAAACTGCCTGGATTTGCCTTCATCTCGGCACAATAACTCTGTGGCCACTGCCGCTGGCCTTGAATGAGGGCCAGGCACTTTGAAACATGAGGCTGTCAGCGGAGGTGAGGAAGCTGCTTCCAGGGCCTGGAGGGAAGGTGGGTGGCTGTTTACTTGCTCCTCATTCCTCTGTTATTTGGTTTGATTTTGCCAGTAAAGCCTGGGCAGGAGGAAGGAAAGGAGGGAGAGAGGGGCAGAGGAAGGAGTGGGGTGGAGGAGGGGGCTCAGGAGCTGGTGTGTCTGGAGGAGGAAGGGTTGGCCCAGAAGCCAGAGAGGGAAGGAGGACTTCAGTGGGATTTTCACTGTCCCAACAGCTGACCTGAGGCTGGCTCATGGCTTCCCGGAGTGCAGATGGAGAGAGCAGGTCTCACGGAGGGTCTGTGCTCTCCCTTCCCACCCCCTGCCAGCATGCCTGCCCCTGAGAGACCTCCCTGTCCTGTCCTCAGTCCCTCTGGGCAGGGCTGGGAGGGAAGAAATGATGAGGTAGGGGGCTAAAAACAGAACCATCCAGACTGGAGGGTCTCGGCTTGTGTCCCACCTGTCTGAGAGCAACAATGAACCGCAATCCGGTGGCTCCAGGTTACAGCCAGAGAAAGCCCAACCTGGAAATGCAGGCCTGGGTTGGCTGTGGGGGCTGATCCCAGAGAGTGTCCAGCGGTGAGGCCAGGAGGACACAACCTGAAGAACACAGTCAGTGACCTGGAAATTGAGAAGACAACATAGGAGTGACGAGAAGCCAGGCGGCCTGAAGGTGTCCGAAGAGGCTGGTGAGCCCTGCTGCTCCCAGCACCGGGATGGGTTAAGCAGCCTCACGCGCTAATCCCAGCTGTCCCTTACCAGCTGCCAGGCCTGGAGTGCCTGCCTCTCCTCTAGGGCTCCCTTCCCTGTCCACAGAACTGACCACCACTCGTTGCAGGGGTGTCTTCGAGGTCAGCTGAGAGGGATGGAAAGCAGCACTTGTGCCCTCGCTTGAGGGGACGCGTGGGCAGAAGAGGCCTCAGGAGGGACAAGACAACAGCTTCACCGGAGCCAAGCAGGGACCAGGAAGAAAGGGCACAGCGGGCCACAGCGGAGCTCAGACCAGACCTGGAGCATGGAGGACCGGGACTCGAGGGCCCACCCCGGTGAGAAGAGGCACGTCTTGTCAGTGGAGTGGACGCACTGTGCTCTGCTGTCCAGGAGGGGACGTGGGGACCCCCTCCCTCCAGAAGCTGACAGAGGAGCTAGAGTATCACCCTCTGCAGCCCCCAGGAAGGAGTGGACCCACCACTGACCATCCTGCCAGTTATCCAGCGGGCAATGCACTACCTCAGCCCAGGTCCACCCTCCAGTACCTGCTCTGAGATGGAGACACGGTGTCCAGCTTCGTCAGCAGAGGGTGCCAGGGACGTTGCAGGAAGATTGGGGCTTTGGTTCTGCTCTGGACATGCGGTCTGGGAGCATCCAGCGAAGCTCTGCCCTGCCATACATCCAGAAGGCGCAGTTGCTCTGCGACCCCAGGCCCAGCCTGAACCAGGGCCCAGCGTGCCTCAGCCCTGCCTCGTGGACACTGCACTGTGGCCTCCCTCACAGTGCTTCCCCACCTGCTTCTGGCCTCTGCTTCCAGCACCAGCTGGCTCTCCTGCACCAGGACTTGGCTTCCCCCGGCCGCTCCTGTGCACACGCAGGATTCCCCCCATATTGTCAGGCAATTGTAAAATTTTTAAAAAATGTAAAACATGCATTACCAAAACCCCAATAATTCAGTTTCTAAATATCCAGTTTAGAGAAATTATCCAGTAGGTGAGCAAAATGGTAATTTTCTGCAGTGTTTTTTTGCAAGAGCAAAACCCCTAGAAGAAAACTACATGTCCAGCAGGGAGAAAGTGGTTAACAAAAAGAAGCAAACAAAACTTGGTGTATCTGCTGGGCAGCAGTTAAAGCCCATGGGTCAGCGCAGCAAAGAACTCCAACACACATTATTCAGTGGAGCAAGCAGAGTCATGTGTTTCATTTGATCCCATTTCCAAAAAAAAAAAACCAAAATGAAGTAAAGCTAGTAGAATAACCCCACCCCCAAAATGATATTTGTAACTGTTGATATATGCACATGATTTTCTGTATATTTCTGCTTTGTTGATTTTTCATAATATGCTCCCTGTGCTTTTCAATTTGCTTTTATTTTACATTACAAGTGTTTACTGAGTTTTGCAAAAAACAAATTTCCAGTGACCTGAGTGAGACCAGTTTCTGAGGCATGCAGTGGACTGGGAGCCTCCTCAGAAGTCATGTCCAGTGCTGAGGCAGCCCCACTCAAGGCCCCTGGCCCCACTAGAGCATAGATAACCAGCCAAGTTTCAAGAAAGAAAACTCCAGTGCCTGTTTCCTGTGTCCAAGGGTTTCCTCAGATGTATCTCGTCATTGGACTTTAGGGCCAGAGGGTCCTCAGAGACCAGCTGAGTCAGTTGCTGACTTTTAAGGCTAAACAAGCTGAGGTTCTGAGGAGCCAGGGGAGGGACTTAAGATCCCCAGAATGTTGGACATTTTTATTAAAAGGGTTTCTTGCTGAGTACCAAGAGGGCAGCAGGACAGTGTGCCCAGGACACCTCTGAGAGCCTGGGAGCCCAGAGGAAGCACCTAGGGAACCATGTTCAGAACAGACCCCAGCTCGGCATTCTCGTGACGCTGCTCAGGCACTGCCGGGGCGCCTGGCATCCAGCCTACAGTGCCCCCAGGCTCTGGAGAGCCAGCACGGACTTGGGCTTGTCCTTGGAAGGACAGCGCATGCTCCTCTGCACCAGGGGACTGTTCCAACCAGGGTCACTGTGCAGAAAGACCCATAAGGTTGACCTCATTCCTGCCCTGGCAGGCTGCTGTTGCAAGAGGAGTGGGCAGTGCTTACAGCGTGGGAGTCCAGGGACGTTGATTCCGGCCTGACTAATAAGGCCCAGCCTCTGATGGGCAGAGTGGGGAGATGCACTGGATGAGGAGTTGGCCACCCAGGAGGGTTCAGAGTCGGTTCCCAGACAGACCCAGCTGTGTGCGGAAGCTGGTCCTTCAGGTCCTCCTGGTGGGAGTTAATGGTCAGTTGGTTCCCAGCTCACTGTTCTGGGAAGCCTTTAGTTTGTTGGGAAGTACTGGGAGTTGAACCTGGGGCCCCCCCTACCACGGAGCTCCATCCCAGGCTATTTTATTTTTTAAATTTTGAGACAGGGTCTCACCAAGTTGCCATATGACCATGGACTTGGGATCCTCCTGCCTTGGCCTCCCAAGGAGCTGGAATTCTAGGTGTGGGCCACCATGCCAGCTTCATAAAATCTCTTTAGAAAATTTCAGGAAGCTGGCTCGTTTGGGATCTGAGGAACAAAGAGAGGATAGGGCATCAGGACGCCCGATTCCATTCTCTGGACTGTCGTTAGATAATGGTACCCTTGGACAGATGGACATGTTGGGATCCCTGGTTCTGCCTCTGCTGTGGTCTGAGGTGTGAAAAGAAGGTCGGAGGGCCTCTGCATGTGGGCTGGCACTCGGACCAGCCCTGGTGGTTCTGCAGTGCAGAAAGGCTTCTGTGGGCATTTCAGTCTGTTTTATTTTTAACTAATACCGTAATTGTACAGAGTTTTTTTTACATGTAGGGTAAATTACATATTTTTACAGTGTGATTATATAAAAAGGAACAGAAAAAAAGTGATCAAAAGAAAGTTCCCTGTATTCCTATCATTCAGATTCAACATTTGACACCTGGTTCTACTTCCTTGATAGTTTGATGTAAATATTTTCTTCAATAAGTAATAGATTTGCTTGTTTTGGGCTCATATCCAAAAAAATAATTAATAAACTGGGAGAAAGGGAATATGTTAAAAAGTCAAGTAAAATTAATCGATACAGTAATGGTGTGTTATTGTCACTGAATGGCAGGCCAGGGCCAGGTGAAGGGATGCTGTTTAAGTTATTATTTCTAGGTGTGCATACAGAATTGAGGCAAACCACAGCCCTATTTGAAGTGTCATGCAAAGGTGAACAAGGAACACAAAGTTAACACATAAAAATGCATATTGTTTGAAATTATAGTCAATGTTTCTAAATCATATATTCAACAAAACAAAATAGAAATCACATCATAGGATTCTTTACAAGGGGTGGTGTGGTGGGCAGTGTGGTGGACTGAACTGGTCACAGGCAGTGACCCTGAAGTCAGACTGGCTGGACTGGCTCCCCGATCCCACAAGACTGATCCAGCCGACACAGGCCGACTTCCTAGGGCGGTGCCTGGCACACACTAGGTACTCAGTTAACCGTAGATCAAGATTCAGCTGTGGAGCCAAATACAGCGGAAAACTGTGCTGCTGCGGGGGTGTGTGGGGGGGTTCTCAGATGGTCTTTGACGGGCAGAACGCAGCGCAAAGCCTGGACGCGCGCCAAGATGGAGAAGAGAGGCATCCTCACGGACAAAACATAGAGCCCTCCCACAGAAATCCCAACAAACCCCAGAACCATCTCAGGCTTCAAAGTCATGTGCCAACTCCAAGTCACTCCCTCCTTAACACCCCACTGTGGGGACACTCTTCTTTAAACAGGTTTGTAAATGCCACCAGCACTTTGAGGGTGCGTATCCCTCACGCACTTATTGACTCCCTGGGCTCACCCCTGGAGACAAGGCTGGATGGATGAAAAGGGCAGGCCCGTCCTGGGGAGGGTGTTAGCGGGCTTTGCAGTACTACAGTGAGACACCAGAGGGACTCCCTTTCTGAAGAGAAAAGGTTCATATAGCTCACAGTTTGGGAGGCCCCATTGGTTTGGCCTTCAGGGAGGACACCGTCCAGGTGGGAGTGTGCCAAGGAGCAACCAAGTAA